TATATTTACCGATAAAACAATGATGGTCAAACTTGTGCAGCATTCGATATAAGTATTTGTTTTATTTGATTCACGTGGACGCGGTTAATTGACTTAGCTCGCAAATAATTGGACTTGCACAGGTTGGTCCCAATTTGGAMATAAATAATATTTTCGAATATCAACACAAAAAAAATTTCGTTTTTTGGACCACTACCTACACTATATRTAATAGGTTAATATAAACCTAATATATATATATATATTAATATATGGAATTAATTTGACAACATTTTTGTGTGATTAGTTGCATTTTATTTTAAGTTTTTTTTTTGTTTTCCCCTGATTGTAAAAAACATAATATGTGCTTTATTGTGAATACAATGAAATACTAATTACGTAACTTGATTCCWAAATTGTATGTGGACATATATATTTTTATAATTAAATTCATACAATTTTTGATTTGGACCTTTCACTTTATTTTCACATTTTGTTGATATAATAGATTCAAATTCCTWGGTTTCAAAGCATAAAAGCATTATACATTTGTATTTTATATTTGGTTATAMCTTATTACATTCTGAACATTTCAGCTGYCAACGGATAATATTTTAATTAGTTCTCATAATTATTCAATCATATATTAATTCCGAAATCGAAACGAAAATAGCAATATAGATAGATTCGATCTGTGTCGAAAAATACTCACTGTGGACATATCGAGGTTTTTGTAAATTTTCCAGGGGTACGACGACGTTTCAGTAGTGTTATCTTCGGTCGGCGATGTGGTGGTCGGCGATGTGGTGGTTACCGATGTGGTAGTCAGCGATAATAGTAAAGCACCGAACAAAATAATAGTCCGAAAAAGCGGCGACGACCGGAAACCCCGATTCGACGGCGGAYAGCTTACAGTTTTCATTTTAGCAGCCTGTTCTGATATTTTTAGTTTGCGAATTTTTTTTGTCACCGACGAAACTTGCAAGAATTAGACAATATATTRTTGTTATCTTGCAGTTGTTTCGAATACAATACCTTATGATATAGATCCAAAAACAACTCCTATTACAATAATATTATATACCGATCGTGGCCGTGAAATCGTAGTGTTCCGCGAGCGGTTAGGTATCTAACATTTGACGAGCTGCCAATCTCGTTACTAAGCCGATGAGTTGGTGTCCATCTCTATTTAATGACGACGTCTATCGAATTTTTCATAGATCAAATTATTATTATATTACCTACGATCTTAATTGAAGTATACACCGCGGGCCACGGTAAATAACTACTGTGCATTTGTAGGTATATAGTTATGAGTATAAAACGTCTTATAAGTACACGCATCATCGCGGTGTTCGAGTAGTGATTATACGTTATTGATGCAGTTTTTATCGTRGTTTTGAAAATATTCGCGAGTCATTAAAACACTATATCGTCGTATAATATCGCCGAAGGTGATTACAATACACGCATTTTAAAACACATGTATACATCGTATATAAGGTTTGCGGAAGCGCACAAATGTCGTAAAATTTATACATTTTATAAAAAAATCTAAATAACATTTTCAGTGATTTCAACAAAAACATTATTATATATAGTCATGTATCATAATAGCTCTTTGTAAGACTGTTTTTTTTTTTTAAATATAATATACTCAGTAAAAGTTAGTTTTTTTTCAACAGCTTCCCATATTGTTTTAATGAAAATTCAACCAGTTTTTATAGCGTCTGAACAAAAAAGATGAGACATAATATCCACTTTTTTGCATTAACGTTGGACTTTGTTAAAAATTAAAATGTTGAAGGTTAGGTATAGGAATTGAGATGGGCTTGTGMATTTTTAAATTAATTAATTAATCACATAATCGAATATTATTATATTTTCTTAGCTGCCAGCTGGTTAATATTATATAATATGACTTCTGCCTTGTAAAATAATTATTGTTTATTTTAATTATTTATAAACTGAAAAGCGATTGAAGTGAGTGATTTTTTTGATAGGTATCATTGATTATGAAATCTGTAAATATTGGATCAATTTATTTTTATTTTAGTTTTTTATTAATATATGATGGACCTATCAAGAACAGAAATGACGAGCATAAATTCAAGGATGGGTACCAATTATTTTTATATGCTCTGTGCTAAGGTGGGGTATTATCATGGACTATTAGATGGTGTATAAGGTTTAATTTGCTGGAAACAATTTGTTTGTATTTTTATTTGGATAAATACATTAAAATTGTCCAAAAAAATCATCAGATGAATAATTAACAGTAAAAAAGTGTTGATTCTTGTTTGAAATCAGGTATTTGTAGATACAACTCAAGAATATTCTCATAATATTTCTTAAATGATACGGAATATTTCAAGATTATTTGAAAATATGGCCATCAAGTAAAATTAAAAATTCCAAAAAATAAATTTTGAACAACTCCATTATAAAGTGTTATATATTTTTGTTTATAGTATCTATGGACTATAAATGTATAGCAAACGAATTGATTTTGCATGTATGGAAATTAATTCAACTGTTTTTGATTAATTGTCCAACTGACACAAGCAAGCGGTACCTCGATTGATCCAATGAAATTTAGGTCTATCAATTAAAAGGTTTATAAACATCACAAAATTAGTCGAATGGCCTGTGGTAGAGAGAACACCTCGACGAGCACTTGTCTTGTAAATAGGAGCGTCGTAATACATTTTCTTCTCAAACTTGGACTAAACGAATATAATAGCAATGTACAAGTAGGTACAGTTATTTTAATAATTTTTTATTTATGCTATATGCTATACTTTAATTCCTGGCTTAAAGCAAATGATTGGAACTGTGTCGAAAAGAATTTTCGGATAGGACTCATTTAATATTCGTAATTCTCGATCCCATCTAGCTCCTTCTAAAAATAAGCCCTGTGAAAAAAAGTGTAAATTAAATATATTATTTTCGTTGGAAATGCTATAAAAATACAAGCAATTTACAAACTATAAAGTCTAATAGGTACGCTCATATTATTATTTATTAGTAGTTGTTCTATACTTCTATATATATWATAATAATAAATTATACAAATTATACGTTTCTCAATCATGCCTTATTGTGGGACGTGATTAGTGCGCTACATATAGAATTAACTATTCGTAGATGAGTATACATTATACCTATACATACCTATACATTATACCTATACATTGAGTATACATTATACCTATACATTGCTGAAATAATATACTGAATTATAATATTATTAATAACTCAATTTCCGCATGAAACATTTTATAAATCGCGAATTGGCATCACATCCATAAAAAGTATTTAAATTATTCRAACATTATAAAATATACATCGTGAATTAAATAAATTGTATTACCTGCATATAGACTATAGACATATAAAATATAAACGTATAATATGTGTATTATTTATTCTTTTCAACATCTAAGCAAACATAAATACATAAAATTAA